AACACGACTGGCAATCTCTTTGAAGGCAAAACGCGAAGTCAGGTGAGCAATGAGAAAATTTCTTGACTGACTGGGTCAATTATATAATGTTAAGATAGTCAACCCCAAGGCAAATCCAAATGAAAGGGAATGCAAGGTTTAATACATACAATCGCTAACTGTGAGACTCAATTACTTGTGATGTTCTTAGACAAATTACGAACGATGGCCTATATGTTTGTATTCCAGTACTTGCAAATCGTCAATGATTTCGGAACTGCTTTATGTAGTAGAAGGATATAATAGGATTATGTCCAAGTTAACAATAAGTAATCAATCTCTGTGGCTGTAACGCTAAATAGGCTCAAACTGTCACCTACTGCCGTACACAACTGTCCTTTCGAAGTATGATATATTAGTGTGCCTAGAGTTTTAACTTTACGTGTTTAAATTCAAGTACAGTACAAACTCGAACAGTTTAAATCTTGCCAATTTTGTTTACGTTTTTAAAAACCACCTTTTTGTCTTTTAGGACTCTACATAAAATGAGTTCCGCACCGGTAACAGAATTAGACTTCATATCAGCGCTTCAAGCTGTTGGAGCATTGCAAAAATCGGATGAAATAGGTGTGCCATCAGATTCACAATCGATTTTAAACAGTACACCAATGGAAGCTGTATCCAATCTTTCGTCGAATGCATTTCCTGTATTTGAACGACCGGATTCCCTTCGTATTATACATAATCTTGTGGAAGGTTTATTACGAGTACAAACACGAGATTCATCTACTGCACTTCGTCATTTGAATGTCGTACTGTCATCTCTTTTTAGATTTCTTAATGATCCGAATTCTGACGTCCGTATAGCTGCAGATGAAGGCCTAAACAAACTTATCAAGGTAATTTAAAAAAAATGAGTTGATGTAGATTCTCGGTCTCACGCCGGAAAGTAAATCATACTTCTTTCGAGGAGTAACATTTGGAGGTAATAAATAACCCCCACAACTGGTACTTTCTCCATGAAGTTGTAACATTACCGCTGCAGTGTGAGTGGAGTACATTCAGTTGTACTTTCCCACACTAACTCAGCGGGAACGCACCGCGGTGTAAAATTAATCAAAATCAACGGGTTAGTAGTAAGAATTCTTACATGAGTACTTCTACATCTTCCGCATCTCACAGCACTTCACCATTACTTTTAAATTTGTCTCTTCGACGTATGTCATAGTTATTTGTCCGGTGATTTTCAGAAGTTAAGTATAAGTAAGTAAGTACCAATGAAGGGTATTAAATGAAGTATCAACAAACATAGTTGTGTCGGCCTATCTCTTTTTTCTAGTGTTGTTTACTCTCTAAGATTAAAGTTTCTCACTGTTTATTTTTAACTTAACTGCTCAATATGTGTTTGCGAGATTATTATTGTCGTTCTGGACAATGCTATCTACAGAATTTTAGCCATTTTTAAATCAATCTTCTAGCTCATATTTGGATTTTGCGAACTACTCATGAAAATACTTCTCACCACTGACTATTCATCATCCGAGTATTATTCCTAGTTATATTTTCAAATAAAACCCTCATATATATTCATGCATCAGAAACACGCTTCCATAAATATTCACAATAATATGAGTAAATGTTGTGACTTAAGATGCTTCTCTTAAATGAAAAAACAGCCCTACACTTCAATCAAGTTACGAATCGGTTTCTCAATAAAATTCAGTGACGTGGTCTATCGCATTCAGCGTTACATTAATTTTATCAATAAAGAGATGCACTGTGATCCCTAGGCTAAGTCACTTAGTATTAAGATTTAATTTATCTGCTGTTAGATCGTTGGAAGCGGTTGGTATATCTTGACTTGTTTAATACTGTTCATCACCACATAGTACTCTCAACTGAAAAATTTCAAACACCACTCAGGGTTATGTAACAAGTGTTCCAGTAGTTGCTCTTTGGGTATTTATTTTTACATGTAAATCGGTTCATTCCTGAAAGATGTATTGTAATTCAAGAAAGTTGAGTTCGATTTTAGGAAGATAAATTCGTTTCTTTTAAGCTTCATATGTTTAACTTATCATATTCTAATACACTCATCACCTAGGTTCAAAACTTGACTTTGCTTTGAAACAATTATTTTTCAAACACGGTGTTCTTTATTATACTTAGCAGTAACCTTAATTAAAGTGGGTTTATTTTTCAAAATACATATCTAAACCACGGAAACCATAATTTTATTTCTCACTCCGCTTTTAAAGAGTTGACTTTGAATTCCTAGACGTATGATTCGACCTCTCAAAACTATGTGTTTTGTGTAATTTCAGTTCCTCCGTTCAAGTATGGCAAGTTTAATTTTGTTGGAACTGCTTATGGAGTTAAAGCGTAATCATAACCCAAGATCTGTTTCGGTTGCATTGTCGAAATTTGCTTCATTATCTGCACAAATTCGAACATCTAAACGCAGGTTAGTCCTTCCGATTATGGTCGATTTAAAAGTACGAAAAAACTTTTTCAAGCTACATCTTAAGAAATTACGCTTCATCAATTGTTTGTATTAAGCACATTTATTCTACTATCTGTTAACATTAATTCTGTAGCATGATGAATATGGAGTTGATTTGTGTAGATAAAATTCCATCAACGGTGGATAGCTGATGGACAGCGAAATCCTCGTACGAATACAAATGTGTTTAACATTTCTCAGTCAACATCGTCTACGTCACCAAAAGGATACAAGAATGACCATCAGAAATCCACATGTATTAAATGATCGATTTCTAGTAGCTCACGAATACTACGAATATTTTCTGTGATTTCATCTTGAATATATTTGGTAGTGGTAAATACTATGGGTTATCAATTGAATACTCCTGTATCCAAGTATAGGTGTTCACGTTAAAGTTTGAATTCAGCACTCATCATTTATTACCTCACCGGAATCCATTAATAGGGTTTTAGAGAACGCCAACAGATGATATATAATCAATAATAACTAATACGCCTGAAACAAGAGATCGCCATCACGACTCATTAGAAATACCAAAACACTGAGATGTAAGTACATCCAGCTGATAAGTTAAAAAGTATTTAATAGATTTCAATGCTAGTTACTTCTGATTGTAACTAAGGTATTGTTTTATTCTGGATAATAATTTAAAATTTGATTAGCATTATTACTTGTGAACTGCACATTTCACCGTTTGTGCTCAAAAATAACTTACAGGTTTTATGCAATCAACTTGCTACCCGTTCTAATATCAATCTGTGAGCAAGAAGATGATTTATTGTATGAAAACATGGTTGATTCTTTTCGACTAATTGCAAATGAATTATTTTATTACGCAAATGAGAAAGAACTACGTGGCGTAAGTATTGTATGTATAACATTCTTTGTGACTTTTAGTTTTATAGGCCTGTTAACGTATTGCTCATTGTACCCCGGCAGTTATACAAACAGATTTCTTCTGCAGATTATCAAGCTTCAACAAACAGAAAATATTTATATTTGTTGTGCGCTTTACACGAGCCAATACGCAGACGACCTTTGAGTGCAGCAAGAACGGGAGACTTGCCACTTTATGCTTAAAGGATGGCTCAATACTGACTTGCCCCAACCGAAGAGGAAGAACAAAGACCAATGGCAACCAACCCAAGATTCGTTACTATATTCCAAACTTTATTTTATTTACACACAACCAGACCAAATTGCACCAATGAATAGAAATTAACAAAGTGGCTGTGAGTAGGGGGAAATGCGAATAAGTAACAACAAATTAGGAATAATAAATCACACAACTATAGTTAATAAGCTCAAGATACAGGGATTATATGCAACAATCTAATTATTTAGTAAGTGTACAATTAGACTATATACCAAACTAATCCATAAACTGAGTTCTTAAGTTACTAATGACGTTAGTCTTCATCCAGATATAACAATATTTATAATCAATTTGTTGGTTGTCATGTTCTTATACCACTGATTTGTTAGCTCCCCAATTATTTTATTGTATAAAATTTTTTTCCGAGTAATTGTACCTGTGAATGCTGTAAATGTAATGTAAGGCCAGTTAAATTTACATTACCTGAGTTAAAAAATAAGCACTCAAACTTCTCATATTGCTTAAAAGTGGTCAGGTTTCATCAACCTTAAATTTATCATAAATGAATCTTATTTTAGAAGTACTGAAATTCGCATCCACATTTTGTATCGGCTTTAAAGTGGGTTAAGTAAATCCTCTTTGTTGACTTGAGATGATATTTTATTTTGGTCAGCTAAGTGTAATCTTGATGACAGTGAACAGATTGTTTAATAAACAAATCCGTATACGGTTTATTCGATGAATAATTATGTAAAGTTACGACGGAAAGGAACTACTGAATGGCCTGGGAATTTTATTTATGTATTTCTCATCAAACCTATTGAAACAACCCGAAAAATTATCCACATCGGAAGCATTGACGGGGCGGGAGCTTAAGAAGATTCACAACTACATACTGTGGCAGGAATTGCTCGAATGCAAAGCAAATCCCCTGGAAATCCCAGGTTAGGACAGCAACATTTAGCCGGTCTAGCTAAGCCCGATGGATAAAAGGACATGTGTTACGTATGCCTAACCCCCGATTGCACAAGGAGAAGAAAAAGTATGATATGAAACAGATGTGGAAAGAGACCAATGAACTAGATATTTTGATCAACTATGTAGGAGAAATACTCTTGACCCAGCTATTATCACTCGAGAGCTAAGGAACTCGTACACCTGAGCCGGACTTTCGGGCTAGAAGATAGTTCAAGGACAATTAATTGATGACCTGAAATCCTTCTAGGGTCTTTACCGATACAGCTCTACAATAGTTTTCCGATCGTATGGCGGATTATCATCAGTGTTGTGTATTAGCTGGTCCATCTATCTAGTTCACATATATTGCTTTTCTAATAAGAATCCCACAGTCTTACGTAATTCAGAAAAAACAGAAATTCAACGCAGTCTAAAACAGTACAAAATACTAGAATTATATTGAAGGGGAATGACTGTAAATCTGAAGCTTACATACATGGATATCATTCAGTTAGCTTTGAGATAGTTTATATAAGTAATCTGACATTAATTTTACCATGTAACAAAATGTCTATGAATTTTATGGCTTTCATGAAAAGCATATGTATTTGCAGTTTCAACATTCAAGTTTATCACTTCCGTTTGTCCTATATACTCTTTGATTTGTTATAATGGCTTATGAATTATTTAATTTTAACTACATTCTTGTCTCCCTCTCTCTCCTTCCATGTTTTACACAACAGTTTTTACGTACACAATTTACACGGTTATCATCGAACAAAGCATTAGTACGCCGTTCAGTAGCTCAGTCACTTGTAATCACATGTCAATCATCCCGTGCACCACTTACTTTGTTGCGTTACTTACTTTACCTAATATTAAGTAAGTTAAATAACAATGATAAACTTTGTTACCTTTTGTATTTTTATCATTACATTCATTAATTTCGTATGGTTTCACGGTGTAACATCACCAAGTGGACAGTACTATGTTTAAGCTTAGAATGGTAAGTAAATATCATCAATTCACCGACAAGTGGACTGAGTCATGTTGGTAGATGTCGACTACCTGGTTGGGATCTGCGTGTTGATAATAATCGATGGTTTGAGACCTTGAACGACATGGCTCAGAATCGTTTGCAATAGCGCAGGTGCATCCACTCTTTATGTTCTCTCAAATTCTAACCTTCTGAATTCCTCATAATCTCTATCTTTCTCCTTCTAAATTTATCTCACTGAATTATACCTCTCGAATCATATCTTCGCTCCGTAATCTTCTCCATTACTGCTAATACTTCTACTATCACTACCATTATTGGATTTGAACTGACAGTTGCGTCTGTGTGCTGATGTGGTATAGCAACCTGAGCTGATGTACTTACGTACGAAGTTCTGTATTGTATCTGTCTGTCTGTCTGTCTGTCTCAATCTTCACTGAATTGGAAAATATCTACCAAATTTATACATTATAACTACAACACTCATGAGTAACTAGTTTTTGCTACCTTATGTTTCATTTGTTAATACTAAAGTCACTTTTTACGTATGGGAAATGGAAGTTAAACTAAAAATATAAAAATGATGAAACATTTAAATTATTAATTAAAACAAAATACCCAAAAACTTAATTGAAAAGAAAAACATTCCATATTTTTTTTCGTTTCAAAATAGAAAGAATCAACCAACATAGGCCTTAATACAAAACATTAGGGTCAATAAAATGAAAAGCTGAAACCACATAATGTAAAAAATTTTATCAGAAGAGTAAATAGATAGATAAATAACTAAATATTAATTCCAGAAAATATTTTATATGTATAACTAGATATAAGCAAGGTAGGTACAATTAATGTTGTAACTAATTTTTATTTAAAGCTTATTGCTCAATTGATCGTAGGTTATGAAAATAGTGAGTAAATCTCGTTGCAACGTCAAAGACTGTCCCTATAAAATATATCTTTTTATGATTTTTCATATTAGAGTTATGGCGATTAGTGTTTTTGCACATTGAAACCGTAAAATGTGCTGACTAGTGACTAGCTTCAGGAGGAAATTCTTGGAGGTCTAGTGAGAAGACGTGACCAGTGAAGTTCAACCCTGTCGGGTGTAGGCAGTAACTGCAGAAGACAAATGGGTGAGGTCGCGCAAAAACCTTAGATTGATCAGAGTTAGACATTAAGACTGTTGGATGCCGGCTCAGTGGTCCAGAGGTTAGGCGTTACCGCGCAAGATCGAAGGTTCTGGGTCCGAATCCTGTGAGGTGCAGGAGTTGTGGATGTGCACTGCTGTTGAGTTCCATACCAGAACGAGACGGCCGTTCAGTGCTTCCAGGTTTCTAATGGTGGTCTAACAATGATTGATGATTTAAATGTGTAAAGATCTTTCTATATCTTCATCTCCCTATTTGTCATCTAACAGTTCAACAATACCGGAAAGTTCACTACGTGGAAAACGAACTGAAAAAACTATTGGTTAAGAAAAATGCAACGAAGATAATAGATGTGTCACCCACAACTGGCTACTAACTTCAACTAGCAGCAAGAAGCTAAATATAGATGTCTCATCTGTTACCAACTTTCGAAAAGGCTTGAAATTATAATTACAACTTTGTCAATTCACTGCACCACAATGTTTTTTGCTTCATGACTAGTGAACCTATACCCAATTAAATACTTAGAGTTAAGAAAAGAATATCCGACAATAAAATACTACAATTCCACTTGCAATGGCGCAGGTGCATCCATTCTTTGTCTTCTCTCAAATTCTAATCATCTGAATTCCTCATGACCTTTTGTCCCCTTTTAAATTTATTTCACTGGATTATACTTCCTGAATCATATATTCGATCCTTAATCTTTTCAATTACTGCTAACACTGCTACGACCTCTACCACTACGGGATTTGAATTGACAGTTCCATATTTCTGTGCTCATATGGTGTGGCAATTTGAGCTGTTGTCCATACGTACCAAGTTCTACGCTGTTTCTGACTAACTGAAAATACCACACTACTGATACGCTTGAAACTATTTCTAGTTCATCTTACTCGGTAAACGGAACGAAGATCAACGATCCAGTTTTTCGATAGGCTATTCTAATCCGTTTGTCTCAGGCCCCGTTAACTAAAACAAGAAGTCTTGATAAGGCGTTGAGAATGTATTCTACAGCACCCGAAAAGGTTGAGGTTCCCGAGTACACAACTCAGTCTTATTCATATAACTGATAAAACACCCTTGATGGGAGCTACGGAATAGCGTACTAAAATAATCCATCAACCAAATGACAGCCATGGATTTTCCGAGTGGGAAATGTAAGCTTGTAGGTCAACTAAACGTCTTTGGTGCGAAAATATATAGATTCAAAATTTCAGAATAAAATTACGAAATTAAGACCTTTTCCAAGTGATCTAACGTCCCTGACAAATTCATATTGATTAAACAATATTCACTCATCTCTTTAATGATTGAGAAGACATTCTGGTCAGATATGACAAATCAAATATTGACATTTAAGTAGTTTTCCTGTGTTATTTAGTTTATTTGAATTATCGTAGATGTACATCTACTAGCATTTACATTGAAAATATTGGCTCATATCATCCTACAGGATTTTATACAGGACATATGAAGAGAAGATTCACAAGAAGTAATAAAGTTTTCATTCATGTCATAAATTCACAAGTCATATCTCTTCACTGTAAGAGTTTTTTGAAAATAATTACATGCATTTGAAGTCAACAGTTAATACTTTTGTAGACAATGGGATTCATCCCCTGAATAGACGAGAATCTGCTTTAGAATTATCTATTATTATAAAATTTTTCCAAAAAATCGCTATCTTTTTAAAATGACAGTAATCTTTTCTGGAATAGAAATCAATATTCTTCCTCTTTTATGTTATAATTAATCTAAGACAGTTTATGTTGTCAGTATGATTTTATACAAATTATTATTCTTTATGTTCTAGTTGAAATGGACTCACTCACTAATCATTCCCAATCAAAACTAATAATAACTGAGCGTGATAAATCAACACCTTTTAATTCTACTGCTTATTGGACGGGTTTATTCAACACAATTCGTTATTTATCGATTGGATGGGATCAGTTCTCAAATAACTTTACTAAGGGTACATCTTTTCTAGGCTTAAATATGCCTCCAACATCGTCAACACATTTAGATCCTATCAGTACTTTGCATTCCAGATTAGTTGATCCTGAGAGTCATGAAATGCCTAATCCAGGTTAGTGTGAACTATTAACTTTTGCCTCGTCTGTGTCGTTGAACTTTTCTGTACTATGACAATATTTTAGTCCATAATAAACAAAGTAAATTTCTGGATAACATTATTTGATTTGTGTCATACTGTTATTTATTGTATCTCAGTAGTATATATGCTTGGTATCGTTTCACCACATCAATGAACAACAGATTCATCAATGGTCAATGGCAATGATTATCATAGGTTCATAAAGCTATGATAACATCCATAGTTGATAGTGTTTTGGTTAGCATAAATAAATCTATTTGATCGTAATTGTGTGGAGACTGGCTAGTTTCGCCCATATTACGTTTTATACGGGTTACTAGGTCCTATGCCTTTCTATTTATTAAAGTCCAGGCAACCAAGTAGTAGCTGTTACAAATTATATGTAACATAGTTTAGAACAGTAACTTTTATGAGGTTGGTTAAATGTATAATATAGCCATTAATGTTAGAAAATTAGTTATAGCTTTAAGACATTCTATAGCACCGAATAATTTACTTTCGGGGATTGTTGTATCAATGTTGTAATATCAAGTTTTTTGGTTGTTCAGTCCAAGTGAAATGGTTATTCCTAACTGAAATCTTTGGAAGACCCCTTCTTAGTTTATGGATTATTCATCTAAAAGCTTTTTTAAACTTCACTATCCATTTTAACACAGAATCTTAATTATTAAATTGACTGAAATTATCGACAAAGATAAGCATGTTATCACTGAAATGATTGTTTTATGATCACCTCAGATGATATAGATAGTTTAGAGGTTTGTCAGAGCAGTATATATATATATATATATATATATATATATATATATATATATATATATTGGTTTTAATCTTAAACGCTTATTTTCACACTATACAGTGTTTTTGATCTGTCTAAGCTATTTGCTTTTTACGTTCTTCATAGATAACTCAAGTCCTCCTTCTTCAGAAGATAAAATTGATTCATCAAGAAAATTACCCAAAACTGATTATACAGATTCCGATAATAAAATGTGGTCAAAAGTATTTTTCATGTGTTTACATCATGCTTGCTCTTTCTCGACCTCAAATTCATTAATGGTACAAACTGCATCATTAGAGGCGTTTGTTCAACTTTTAACAGTTAGACGTCCACTATTTTTATTTCCACTAAATTGGCTTACAAATGTTACATCATGTTCGTCACCAACACCATCATCATTCAATCAGCATTGTATTACAACTAATCATGACATTATGAACGATAAAATAATTATTGACTCATCACCTCAACAATACAAACTGTATGAAAGTAAGTTTTATTACTAGTGGCTTTTAATTTAGCAATAGGAATAATTACTCTATATATTCGTCAGTATCTTTGCTAAGGCATGAATTAGTTTGTTAGTCGGACAAAGAATATAATTTTGGACCCGATGGACTGTTGTATTTTGAGTGTTTAGATGTAAATGTGAGCCGTTGGTTAAATGTTGCAAATCTTTAAACTTGACCAAATGATATTTAAAACTTTGTTGTAGAAGTGGAATTTAAAAACTGCATGCTTAGTTTATTGTGGAATGGAGGATAATCTCAATTGTGCCTAAATATGAAAAGTTTATGGACTAAAGTGATCTGTCTGAATATTTCACTTGTCTTTTCTTTGCATGACTTAGCTTTGAATTGCGAAAAACGTTTTCAAAAGCTTTGATTCAAAATCCAATAGTAAATAAACTAATGATGTTTAAAACGAACGCCACTGGGTTCGTATCCCGAAGTGAACATCAACTATGGAATGCAGGTACATTCAGCTGACTAATCCCAAATAGAACGAAACACCCGTCCTAAACTCTATCCATCTCCGCTAACGAACCTTAGTAAGTTGTCAAAAAGTAGAAGTGGTTTTCTGAATTCCAAGAATATTGTAAAGTTCCATAGTATTACCACAGACTAAAATAAAACCGAATACATCTTTTGGATTATGTATATAAATGTAAGTTTGAATTTGCAAGCACTGCTATTTCAGCTGATTTCAATGGTGTAAGCGTCTTCATTCATTTTCACGTAGTTTCCAAGTTATTCTTACAAATTTCACCCTCACACAAACACAACGACACAAGACCGTCCAACTAATTCATATAATGAAGCAGTACTAGATGTCTGCTGTTTGTAGGTATTCAACGCACTAACAGTCTATCAAATCATATAAAAAATCCTATTAATAAGATTTAAAATCTCACATTCTTGCTTTGTCCCACTTTTCCTCAGTTTTATATTTGATATTTCCTTATTTCGTGAATAGTTACTCACTTTTATTACGTTTATCGTAATTTTTGTTTGTTAACATCTATCTTTTAACTGTGAATCTGTAGTCTATATCTATCAGGTACTAGGCTCATTCACATATATATATAACTTATAATGTAATACACCAATTTTCATGTAATTGCTGATATAAATTCCCTGATTTTCATGACTCTTTACTCTCCGTAGCGCTGATCAATGGATTTCTTTTAATTTCTGTTTCTATTCTTCGGTTTATTCTCAGTTTATGTCAACACATTGCCATCATTAATATTATCACTGTTTTTCATCAAGCAATGACTTCTGGTGGGGAGCTGTTAAAATAAAAGTAGCATCAGAGAGCTATTTCACCTTCATGATCTCCCACCAGGGATAGAATCCGAAACTTTTAGGTTTCGTTACACTTTGCCAACCAACTAAATAACTTCGCTTGATAGACCTTCATTCCTTTGTAACATATGCAAACAAAATTGCTTATTATTAGAAGGTAAAGTGTTGATTATTTATTAGCAAAGTATTCAAGTTGTCTTTGACACCTTTGATCTTCATAGGCATTATTTATTTTTACAATCTATTTACTACAGATGAACTGGGTATTAATACTACCAGCTACAAGGAAACAGCTAATTTTGTTGCAACCAATCTTTTGTCAAGAACGCTTTCCTCCGAGTCAATTGATGATAAAAGTCCAAGCTCAGATTTCCAGTCAGTTGACAGTCGTGATACATATTTCATTCGATCAGCATCCTCTTCAAGTTTATCTTCTTCCATAAAGATAGATTCGAATGAAACAACATTAAATGAACAAGAAATTCAAAATCAATTATCTGTTGTTCGTGCTCATTTGGCTAGAGATGAAGAAAAATTAATAAATGATGAGAATGGTGATGTATTCAGTTATTTAGGTTATGATATTATCAATGATTCATCCAAAAATGTGGAATCTGCTCAAACTGATGACAGTCAAAACTCAATTAGTAAGTCAAATATTAAAGATTATCAATGACTGTAACTAAACTAAGTTGTAATAATCCAAATCGATCATAAAATTCGGTTGATGTAGTGTTATTGGTATTCTTTTGTTTACAAAAAATAACTTAATCAACTGTTTCACGCAAATATAATTTCTGTCTTGAACTTGAAATTTTCTACCTTGCTTTTAAAAATTGCCAATGACTCTGTTATTATTTAGCTCAATAATTTGCTTGTTTGTTGTTCTTTTACAGATGCAGATGATCATATACACGATCAACAACCATCATCCATACATTATTCGAAATTTTGTGATTTCAATTTAATGGATCTTATTAACCGGCTTAATAATCAAGGTGAACCAATCAGTCTTGCTCAAAGTGATTGGTTATTACCTTTTCTTCTTTTATCGTTTGATATGATGCCAAAAATGCAGGAGACTTCTAAAATTCATTATCAATGGCCAAAACCTTTAACTTCACCTCGAATCAGTTTACAGTTGCTTGTCATCAATTGTTTAACTCAACTAGCTCAGCTTAATCCATTCATATTTTTTGTACAGCTAAATGGTAATCAATGTTGTCCTAGTGATCAACTAAGTGCAGAAAAAATTCAATGGCCTACAGCAGGTAATCTTATAAATATGCATATCCCCTAGCCTTTCTGTTTACTATTTACACTCTTGTCAGAACTGAACAACATTCCAATTGTCTTGGTACATAGAGAATAACGCTAACTAATGTCCAAGAATGCCTAAGATTACCTAGTTTCTTAGTTTTGTTGACAATTTACAGTTTCGACAAATAACCTAGTCCTCAATAATGTTTTGGCTCACATAACGCTGCTGACCTTTGTTACTTTCTCGTTGGGTCTGTTATTGTTTACTACTTTTCAAAGTCACTTTTCTTCTTACTAAAAAGATAGTTTTGCCTCAATTCCAACTCCTCGAAATAAAAGTTCTCTTGCCAAGGAATACTTTTTATTCTCTTACTGCGACGTTTTGGTAATATTACGGTTAAAGTAATGTAATTACGTAGCGGTACCAACTAGTTGATACTGCTGTATATTGACGTAACAGACCCATTTGAAAATACCCACCGTCAATTCGGTATCTAGTATCCCAATGGAAGCATGGCACCTTTGAAAACAAGGTCCCATGACACATGCTGTTCTAACATGAGAATCTCTAGTGTTAAAGAAATTTGAAGTAAAAGAGACTAGTTGTTCGGTCTTTAGTTATCAATAATTCTTCAGTTCTTAATGATCGACTATGAGAACCTACTACGAATTAAATTGTCTCCTACTTTTAATCATCAATAAAACTAACTGCTATCCTGTTATACCAATACCTTATTCTGTGTTTTTCAGTTGAGGTGATTCTGGAATTTCTCAGTAACAGCACTGACCCACAAGCTGTAGGTCAACTTTGTATACTGATTGGAAATCTGATCGCTTCTTATTTAGTTTGGCAGAATTTAAATGATCAAGCTTCCGATTATTTATTAAATGATCATAGCTTCTCTGTGTATACAAGCTTAAATCAACTTTTCACCAAATTGGAATCATATTTGAATACAAATGTAAGTTTGACTTATATTATACAGATTTGTTTGTTTTTTAATTTCAAATCGCTTTTGTTCTAACCGTAAAAACTGTTGAATATGTAGAAATAAAAGACTCTACGATTTACATTCTGCAAACAAGAAAACAAAAACCTTTTTTTTAATAATAACAATAATAAAATAATTATAACATTTTGATGATTTCCCAATGAGTAGAAATTTGTATTTCTGACGTTTCATCACTTAATGCATAGCACTTCTTTAGAGCAAATAATTGATCAACATAAATTAACACAAGTTTAAATAGTAAACAGAAAATAAAACAGAATATTTTCAGTACAATCAAAATCATAATAGGTATGAACATGTCATTTTTTCAGTTGTAATGATTCTACATGAGACCTTAAAGTGTTATTTATGTATATGAAAGAAGATAAGATAGAACATGCAATTTGTGATATGAAGTATTGGCGTTAAAAATAAAAAAATATTTGTGTGTATGTGTGTGTGTGCTTAGAATTGCGTAGATAATGATTGAGTCAAATGTGATTATTTCGATGAACAGCAGAGGGATTTACTATTATGTGAAATACTTCGGCTACTCGTCTCTCTTTATAGTTGGAAAGACCTTTCTGAATTATTTTGATATTTTTTGATATCGATTTGGTGGTTATTTTAAATGGCATTTACTGCTATTACCGATTTAATCTGTAATCTTTTTTCTAGTCCTACGGGATTATTAGATCTTTTTGTCTAGCCTAAGTGTTCTTTGGCGCGAGCCGAGACTTTATGAGAAGTCTTTCTGATATAATAATAATAATATAATCTAGTTTCTAGACACAGTTTTGTATGTTTGTCAAAGGGATCGTGTCCTTGGTTCGAACTGAAGCGTTTCTTAGAGTGTTGATTATTTTGTACAAATCACTCATTCTGAATATTTTCAAAATTCATTGTAATTCTTCCGTCTCACCTTGGCGCTAGGGTAAAACCACAGTACCAATCCAAAAAATTTCATTAGAATTACGTAAATACATAAGTTTTGTTTTAATGTAGGAAAATTATTAGACCGTAAACCGTTTATGGTACTTGTTATCTTCTTCTTTTATCTGATCTTTTGAAGTTATGATTTTGGTAGCCCTTGAAAATAGATCCACGACCAGGGAAATTTTCGCATTGAATGTATTCGCAGAGTTAATGTCAGTGTACCGACTTGCTTGTCATTAAAGGATAATCATTGTTACTTTTTGAGACCCTAGTATTTCGCATGATGCGTTTAGTTTTCTTAGGAAATCTGAGTTTAATGAAATACAGTTATTATTGTATCATATTTAGAAATGTAATGTATTCATGGAATCTTGCTAGCTACAGGAAGTCGTTATATTTTTAAGTGAGGTGTTAGTATAAGCTAGATTTTTAAACTCATTACTTTTTTGCTATCAAAATTAAAATATTAACGTTATGAAGAGGTGAAATCATACAACATTTTATGGCTCCAGTTCGGTCACAAAGTTCCCATTAGTAATTGCAACGTTGAAGAAAATGAGGAAAGCAGAGAGTAACAAATAAAGAGAATACCTCGACCTCCTGGATATCTCTTCACATTTATTTTTTCGATTTTCGTTAACCAAATAATTGATAGAAGGAACTTATCAAGTAATCTTTTCCTTCCGTATACATTATTACATTCACAAAGTTACTGATTTAACTCGAACAAATTTTGTTAGTAACCAGGTACAGTAAGTACATCGCAATTTACACTTGCCTCAAAAAACGTTTACTTATGACTTTCTTTAAACACCTCATCTCCAAATAATTCCTCCAGTAGTATGATATTATTGTTGGCGTAGATATTTCTAAATTCATTTTTATCAAGATCTATTAAGACTGAGGAATCTGTATCTTCGGCAGTGGCTTAATAGTACAGTAACTCTATGCTTCAGCAGATTAGATTACATTACTAGAAGTAAAAAATAATTTATGTAGTAACTTCTAAACTACTTAATACTTGATACAAGTAGCCAGATCTCACTTGATTCAGAAATTTGTCTATCTAAAGTAATAACACTGGTTTTTATTTAACATATTAACGATTAGCGTTATCCATTATGATGATAACCTTTTTTAATTGAAAAAAAAACTTTGTTTTAATAGTCTTCTAGTTATTTAATACATTCCGATGCTTTTTCGTTACTTCCCTTACTGAGACATTTTTATTTCATTTAACCATAACAAAGGAGCATCTAGATATTTATGCGCCATACAAACGACTGAGTTTATGTGATGTCTGGGTGCTTAAACCGGAGCAGTACTTGTGACATTTGATAAGGCAATCTATATCATTATGAAAAAATGCTTCCTGAAATAATTACATGTAGTATAAGTATCAACTAGCAGCTCTATCTAAAGTCTACTACTGTTACGGATAATGCGTATTTATACAGTTAGGTCGAATAGGAAACAACATTGAAGTCTGTGACATTGACAGTTAGGACGACCATAATATTGACCAGTAGGAATTGACCAATAGAATTAGACTTCCAAAAATAGTTCTCTTAGGATATTTGATGAATATCCTAACACTGAGAATTTGTTTTTTTATTATTTGGAGAATGAATTTTGTCCTTCTTAGAGTGAAAATTAATTTTTTTTTACTACATTTGCTTACATGGTTTTTGTGACTGCGGATGAAATAGCTATATTCTTAACTTGCTCTTTTGTACCTATGGACTCAAGTTTGAGAATAGTAACAAATTCCGTCATAAATGTCATCTTAAAAAATGATAACTGACCAGTTATTCTTATTTTTTTCCTGAGTATTCTTTTGCTTGTGTGTAATCAAACCAGTTTGACGAAAACAGGAAAATACTGCTCATAAGTTATGGTAATGTTCAAAAAACTGTTCTAAATTTTGTGTTTCAAGGTATCTGGCATAACTTTACGATGGGCTTTATCTGGTTTACGAACATGTTCTAACGCTATATTGTCTTGCGCTGATCGGGATTCATTGTTATATTCAAATAAATCGAACATATTACCAGATGAACTTTTGGTGCATCGTTTTCTAAAAACACTGAGTTCAATTGTTATTCATGCATCACGTCATCCTTATCGATTAGTTCAACGTGAATTTTTAACCTTAGTGACTGAGCTTGACTGGGCATCTGTTGGATATTTAGAAGAAACATTGAAGACACATGAATTAACAAAGGTTTGTTATTTAAAATATGTTTTCGCTTTTTTACTTCTGGTTATTAAGTGTATCATATTAGTTACTGAAACTTTTATAGAACAAAATGAATTTGCCTATTGTAAGCTAATTATCTACACTTTGAAATCAATTCAAATACATCCTAAATAATGCAATCTATATTAGTTTGTTAGTTTTCGTTCAATTAAATGCAAGAAAGGTTTGTTCTAAATGTTTTGCTACATAACAGAGTTACTACATTTTGTAAACACTTGAATAATCAATGATTGACTCTATGACAATATCTGTACATTTCAGAACATTCAAAATTATTCCAAAGCTAGTGTCACATTACAGACAGGAACCTGTTTTCTGTACTAAATTCCATTTTATTTGTAGACTAGCAAATGTATTCAATACAGAATTCGTTAAAAATTTTGAACACAAGAAATCGAAACTTAGTGGAGATCACTTCTATCAAATATCATCAACATACTTTTTATATAGTCTAAGTGAAAATAGTAATTTGTGACTTTTAATCACAGTTGTTTTTTTAAAAAAAATAATACATTGTTAATAATTCTCTTTCATTTTTATTTTTGTTTTAGTCAGCGTTGTTTTCTGTCATGTCTACTAGATTAATAGATTTGACATGGATAGAGTGTTGGCGAATTTTATGCGATTCTGATCCAGATTTACGTGGACAAGCTTCTATAGCATTGATTGCATTAGCTTCTAATTTGACTAGTGGTATTGGTGATAATTTAGGTATTTCCACTGGTGGTTTTCTGCCGAACCGTATTAATCGAAATTTACACTTTTGGCTACCACAACCATATTCACAGATGAGTAAGTAATGACATATCGTAAACATATGTATTTCTTGACTATTTTTCAACATTTTATTTATACTCAGGCTATTTACGCCATTTATGTAATCAATCATTTACAGCCACTTTTGTCTTCTTCCTGTATATAATTGCGGTTTTTCACTTTATACTTGAAATACCAATAACAATAGAAGTTGAATGCTTACTCATCTTTTGAACTCTTGGTTTAGCTTACTTTGTAGTTGAAGAGAATACGAAATACGATTAATTCATCGTATTATCCGAAGATTGTCAATCTTGCTTTGTGTAATGTTCGTTACTAGGTACTCTTGAAGCTATTACGAGTTAACCTTAGTCGATAAACACAAACGAGACAATGACCAGCGTCCAGGTAGGCTAACTTGAATCTCAAACTGCAAAACAGAAGACTTAGTAAGCGTAGAAAGTATATTCTACAACACCCAGCAATCACACAATACAATCAAGCACACAACTCTCGTTTATTTATACATCATAGAAACGTCCTTGGGACAGTTACGAAAATAGCACACTAAAATACACAGCAGCCAATCACAGCCATGGATTTTCCTGGTGGGAAATGATATCTCTAGGTCAACTGATCAGCCCATGCTCGCAAACATGAAATCCAAAATAAGGCATTTATCAAGCGAGTTCTGGGGATCTAACATACTCAACACTTTGTTTCCATTTTTCACAAATTTCTTTAAATATACTGAATAATATGGTACACACTACTCCAACAGTACATCATTTTAGTGTAATAATTTTTTTGGACATTTCGGTTTGAGATCTTCAATGTTTTTTGACATACATAAGCAAAATTAACCATTCATTATTTCCAACTACTTATTTTGATTTGTTTTTTTTTTGTTTCTGTAGAAGCAAAAATTTCATGTTATGGTTTGGTCGGTGCTTTAGGTATCCTTGGTTTACCACCATGTTTATCTACTCTACCAATGGAAATGGATGTTGGACCGATTGGAAGACAATTTTATCAATCACCAACATCACAGTTATTGTATTTAGAGACAGAAGACAACAAAATAAGTAATCGTATGACTGGCTTCTGTCCAAATAGTACGGGTGCTACACGTCTATTCCGTAAATGTTTGACTGCTTTGATGGAATTGCCATGTTCTAGTTCTTTACCTGAAGACCGCTACATGCTGGTAAATGGATTATTTTCTAATTTGAATATTTTTGGGTAATTGATGTTTAATTTTTTGACTAGAACAATTTAATTTTGTTTATATGTGTATGATAGATAACATAAGTAAGATAAGCTTTTCAAGACTGACAACTGGATTGAAACTCTTATTGTTCATCTGAAATCACATGGGTTATTATCAGTAAAACAGAATACCTTCCATGGTTACTACTCTCATTTTCAACCAATTTTTTTGTTTATCAGACAAGCTGTTAAGATTTTCATACGAGTATTTTGTTGCTACAATAATCTACATTTTACGTAAGTTTTTGTTTCGTATTTATAGTTGTCTGATAAAATGTATGAGTATAGGAGAAAAGAAAAAGAGATTGGATCATAAAGTTATTCTAGATTTTTTTTTCTCTTAGCCACATTGATGTACACGTACAAGTTTATTTACTCTTGTGAGGCTGGTAACATTAACCATACAAAACAAACACTTTCTAAATACATCTCAGAACATTATCCGTTATGGCTTTTAAGAAACGGTCAGTAGCTCAGTACAGAAGTATCTCATCAACTCTAGGCACCTTGCTCCAAAGGCATCTTCCTTTAAAATAATGTACACAGTTAAAAAGAGGTCAAATCAAAAACTTATGCATTACTGGGGTGTCAGAAATTCACTAATTCAAGCTTGATCTCTGCTTATAACAGTAACACGTTTAGTTTCTAACCCTTTCACGACCCTTCCATGCTGTTTTTTAGTACAGTTTGGTTTTTATTTTCATTTTTATCATTACCGTTTTGTAATTGAAAAAGCAACAACCGTAATCAGTTATTATTGTCCTGGAACAATTTTTCATAATTATTATTCAATTCCTATTATGACCAGCTCGTTTTTCATTTCTGCTTCATATACACCACAGATGGAGAAATTAAGCAAGTACAATACAAAATCTGTCTGTGGTTATGAAGATTCTATTTTCCTAGATTAGTGTAGATGGATTCCCACTCTCTTTTTCTCTCTTTGTTATACTTGTGTCTCATATTTGTTCATAGGTAACTGGTTATTTTTAAAGATATAACATTAGAGAAATTACTAATGTAATGTTGAGTTAATTCTTTTGATATTTTGATCATGACCCTAACCAATTCTGAATATTATTAAAAGATAATTTTATTATTCTTTATTTGTTTTCTAGCTTGGTGTTGTAGGTTGTTTGAATCAGTTGATTGGATCGTCTCATTTACTTAGTTATTCTCATTTATGGTTTGATTCTACTTCCTCATCATTAACTTCATCTGAAAGTACTTTATCAAATGAAAATCCCTTGCAACCTATAAATCGTAGATCTCGTCTATCTCTCTTATCTTGGCATTGTCTCACTCTATTATCATCAGCTCCAATAACATCAACTGACCTAGAACTCCATTCTTCTCTATTAAATTTATGTACTGGTTGTGTAACACGTAAGTTTTATGGTTATATAATTCAGCATAAATAACATTGGAAAATAAGTGAATACAAAAACAATGAGATGTTATCATGTCGATGTTAAATTCATTGGTGGCTTAATTATGAACGATTGAGATTATTTCTATACAAACAGAATGTGATACAAACTCAATAAAAGGGTAACTGATACACTGTGCAACCAAACCCCCCCCCCAACTTAATGCAAGACGTGAAAACGTCAGAGGATCAAGGAAACCTTATATTCACAAAGACGAATTCGTAATAGAACATTTCTGCATATCAAGTAACCAGACATAACTTTGAGACGATAAAAATTGTTTTGAAAAATGATGTATTGTTAGCTTGCCCAACCTCTCGTAGTTTACCGCAGTAGTAATGATGAACCTGTAAAGATTAATGTAGATGAACAATATTTATTCTCATTTGCTAGAAACTTCTTTTGTCTGTCCTGGTGTTGATTAAAAATCAACTGTTACATAAAACTGCAAATACCGTGGTATCTTATCTACATCGCAAACTAACTTCTTTTAACTTGCAACGTAGTTGGGCCTGAAAAGTTCGGTTACCGTACTGCTAATACTATAGGAAAATACATACAACAAATATCTATATTTATTATAATATCGTATTTATTTATAATATCAAATTTAAGATTTTAAAACAAATATTTGCCTATAGGGATTATATTTTGATTTAACTATTGGTTTTTTTATTCCCAATTTCTTTATGATTAACAGATAATCGTGTCAAGCTTAATTTAAATTGTACCATAGTAACGCTGACAAATAACTCATTATTTCACTGAAAAACATAGATATCCCAATGATAAACAATGTCATATATCTGATTTTTGCAAAAGGTGTATTCGTTTTAGTCAGCCTTCTGAGAAATATGTATAGTCACAGCCGAGTTGCAGACATTTTATTCGTAACAACATACCTGTGATTGTGATGCAAAATACTCTTCAACTGAACTTATGCTATAGCCTCAATGACTGGCTCTCAACCTAATCCCTATTTATTAGGAAGATAAAAGGAGATCCTAGGTTCACCATCGACCCAACTGACTATAATTTAATGCAGTATGATTGAGTATTGATGAAATTTTCAAAGTGTCATTAAGAATCAGCCATTAAAGAACCGAGTTTCATAGCATTGAATTCAGCTGTACCTGTAGGATTTTGAAAATTTCATTATTTTAACCGATTAGATCTTAATTTTCAGAAAGTTATGAATTAGCTATCACATACATATTATGCCATCAAGTAAACATTCTGTACAATATTTCATCTTATTCATTTTTCCTTGACAGGTTGGTCTGTCTATACGCTCTTGGATAAATCCTCGAACAGTAAAGATAATAGTGAATTACCTACATCAAATGATCAACAACCATTTACTCGTTATGCTTTAGCTTTCATGCAACACTTGATGAGGTGAGTAATATTTGTATCGAAATTATTTTTCATTTCCTAAATTTTCTTTTACATTCAAGCTTTGTTTGTGTAAATGCAAATGATTTGTTTCTTATTCGAAACACCCTAATTAGCTATGAGATAGAGCGAGAGATAGATAAGATTATATTCTGTATTCGGAATTAAGTTTTTCAACGGTGTCTATTTCGCTCTTACAACCTAGTTTTTATTTTATTGCTTCTGCAACTGAATTGTAAACTTTGTTTTGACCAACTCTTAATGATTTGCTTTTTCGGAAGAACAAAGGTAGCTTTTTATGGATTTCTGTATCAGTTTAAGGTGTTTGTTATTTCTGTGATGCAATCCCATACGTATGTACGTTTTGATAAATGTGGCTCTCTACATATATTCATTCTTTTGCTATCAGATTTCCGAGAAATGTATTCTATTTTAAGGATGTTGACATCCTTCAATAATAAAACCTGCTATTTCATAATCTGTGAAAAGCGACATTGGATTATTAATGATTTTTTATATTCACTGTATTGACTGCTTTATAGCACTAGGGTTATTTTTCAGAGACATCTTATAATACAAGCAGTTTTGTAAGCTGTAGATCTAAGTCTAAGTTTTGGTTTCTAGTAAAGACTTTTACACAATAACTCAATCATATAAAGATTTCAATCACGAGTTATTGCATATTGTTATTAAATGAAACCTTTGATTTTGTTGTTTGATGACATATTCGGTAAAGACTGTCCTATTTTCGGTATATATATATATATCCCATGAACTAAACAAAACTGTCCTTAAGAAAATCAAAATAATTTTTTTGAAGCTCGTTAACTAAGGTAGTAATCTTACTGATCCAACCACCACCATATTATTCAACCGAAAATTGGCTAAATATGACAGTAACAGAATGTCATTTCAATACAGAATGAGCAACAAGTTCCTTGTGCTAATGTGATATGGCGACCCGAACTTATATACTTACGTTGTAACTGACTGACTGTTCCTGTTGATTACTTACCTTTAAAATTCATAAGATCTTTTTAATGCCATCGGTTGTATGAAAATGCCCTTTTTTTACTGCAATATTTTCCTCATATTTACTATTATCAAGATTTTATTTAATCTCTAACTTGTTGCAATTATCATATTATTCTTTAAGTTCTACTGAAATTGTACACTTCGATGATGAATGTTTAAAATAACGAAGTATTGCTGTCCAACTATGATAGTCGACTATTTATTATTTTCTACAATCATATTTCTCTTTTGACATTTATTTTTAAAGGTGAAATTCAAGACGAGAAATATTCTTCTTTCTTGATAGTTAAATGTTATTTTTTAACAATGATTTTTATTTTATCCACGTTTATTTTATTTAACAGGGTTTGTTGTATTCTATGGCATATTTTTGAAGCAATTCATTTACCTCAACATAATCAGCCTGATTCAGTATCGCACAAAATACCAATTAGTTCAATTTACTCTGGTTTATCTGAATCATTTATACATTCTGTAGCGAATTTAGCTCAAACAAGCGCCAATTTTTCTACGGCCAAATTTGATCAAGAGATCAATGCTTCTGCTGCTGTTGGTGCCTCCACTAATACTCCTATGAGTAATAGTAGTAGTATTAGTAGTAGTGCAGATACATCATCTGGTAAAAAACGTTATTATGGAACAAAATTAAGTGGTTCTTTGAGAAAGCATCTACCTGGTAATATACATGTATATATATAATTTATGATCAGTATGTTAATTCGTATCATTTAAACTCTCTAGTTTTTAATAATAAAAATATGGTATAGAAGTGAGCGAGTCAGAATCAAAAAATGTGATTTTCAGGCTTCTGTGCGTAATTCAAATATTACGACTAATGAAAAGTGGAAATAAATTTGTATACTCCTCAAACTATTTACTGCAACTATAGCGTAAAAATGATCGTTGTAAACCTATCTAATATTCATAATAAAATAGTTATATTTTAGTGACATTCTAATGAGTAGAAATTTATATTTCAAACCTTTCGTTAATTAATTTAAGTAGCTTCTTCAGAGCGAATAAATAACCTACAATAAGTCTCTCAAAACGTTAAAAATCCAAATTTTTACTCATTAGGCTGTCACCAAAATATTATTATTATTAACTTCCTACTCAATGCTCAATCCATTTAAAACTATCAAGTTCATTCTTGGTGTTCAGTAAGTGTTAAATTCGGTCTCTGTATATTATATATTACAGTTATATCAACCTTATCCCTACATCCTATTATTGAAACCCTCAATTCTAAAGCCAATCTTAACTTCATAGCACTCTATTTTGTAGGTGAATCAATCCGATAGTGCTTCTTTGATCGTTTCATGAAACTCACTTATATTTACATGGCTATAGATCACTTTTGAATTATTGCTGATATCAATTCGTGATGAAAATTCTAAGCCCAAAACTCTAATCATAACCCCAAATACCAAACTTTAACCATGAACATTGTTCGAGATTCTTAAAGATCTATTTGGGTTCTTTTAAGCGTTCTAAAAGACAAACAATCCGTATTCATACAGATAAATTTATGTATCGTTTCTTCAATCTTACTACAGAGTAGCATGTTAAAACGGCTGTTAGATCCGAGAAATCAAACCCAGAACCTTCGATCTTGCGCACAAACGCTTAACCTCTGGACAACTGAGCCAGTTTATGATGGTGTTAATATATAACAATTCCAGCGAGCGGGGATCATGGATGCGCACTGCTGATGAGTCGTGTTCTAGGATAAAACGACCGTCCAGTGCTTTCAGGTTTTTCTAATTATGGTCTAACACTGATCGATTTATGATTTCAGTAAAAAATATATCCTACTCATATTTTCATTACAGATTTTAGTTGTTTCTTTGTTTTTTTTCTCTAACAAGCACCTCGATATTCCACTACATTAAGCTCTACAACTCTTGGATATTTTGCCAACTTGCCGCAATATGTTTCATTGTATAAAACTCTTAAAGCTGCATATAGATCCTTTAAGGTAAATTCACTGTTACCATTCTTATTTCACTTCTGTACTTATGTATTTCCAATATTTTGTGTGTGGACATATTTAAAAGTTAGTGGTTCAATATTCTTTTGATCAATTGAGCTTAATTGAATCACAGATCAAATTATCACTCAGTTTAATTTGATCTATGTAATTATTTCCCCATTAAACATATCTAGTTAATTACTTTTTATCATGAATCTTATAAAGGACTAGAACATTTTAAATTGTTCACAGTAATGATGATACAGTTTAGTGACAAGTTAATTCGATGTAATAGCTTATTGGATATGAAACCTAACCGTAGTAGTTAGCTGGTAAAACGTCGATTCTAGTGATAGAATGTTGGGTCCGACCGATTCTGAACCACGTAACCCAACGACATTATTGATTGATTATGTTAATCATGTGAAACCCAAGTAGACAGTCTTGACATGCTCCTTACTGATGCGTATCAAGTAGTATGAACCTTAAGTCTACAGTATCATAAAGGCGTTTTTCGATCACCCAATATGTGATATAATTCACTACAATAAAGAAATGCTTTGGTTGTTAACCACACTAGAATTTCATTATCTCTAAGCTCCAGACAAATATGACACTTTTCATCACTCGATTGTCCTTCAGTGTAAATAAAATCCTTTCACTTAATATTCATATTTGTGTTTCTCCTTAATTTTTTTTATCTTCCATCAATCAATAGATATCTGCTGATTTAACTGGTTCTCATGATCGATTAATGGGTTTACTACAAACTTGCCTGTATTCTTTCGGTCGATTATTAGAAAATCTTCATTTCGATGAAATTGCTCCATATTCCGATGAGTTATTAATTTATCTAACTTCATTTTACAATTGGCAACCTGGTCCATGCTTAGAGTTATCAACTCAGGTGATTTTACTTCACTCTCGGTTTTTACTTTCTTTTTTACGTGAACATCGCAAATATTTTAAAATATCAAAATGTCTATGTTACAAATGCACATAAACACGTCATTTGATAAGCTTGAATTTTTATGAGTTTACCTTAGTAGGAAAACGAGAGCTAGGATTGAAGATCCGGAGACATGGCATGCTACTCTAATCCGAGCATCCCAAATCCCCATTGGGTAAAAGAAGACTTGATGTGAAGTAGAACATGTATCCTACAAGTATCCAGAAAGTACGAGGCCTGAGTCTAGAAGAGAATCAGGATCCCGAACTAGGGATCCGGATCCGAGTCATGAAACGTTTCAGATAATGCGTATTTATAAAGTTAGGTCGAATAGGAAACAACATTGAAGTCTGTAACATTGACTGTTAGG